GGAGAATGGGGAGGGTGATGGAAAGCGGGAGAATGGGGCGGGGTGATGGAAAGAGGGAGAATGGGGTGGGGTGATGGAAAGCGGGAGAATGGGGCGGGGTGATGGAAAGCGGGAGAATGGGACGGGGTGATGGAAAGCGGGAGAATTGGGTGGGTGATGGATAGAGGGAGAATGGGGAAGGGTGATGGAAAGAGGGAGAATGGGGCGGGGTGATGGAAAGCGGGAGAATGGGGCGGGGTGATGGAAAGCGGGAGAATGGGGCGGGGTGATGGAAAGCGGGAGAATGGGGCGGGGTGATGGAAGAGGCGGAAAGAATGGGGCGGGGTGAAGGAAGCGGGAGAATGGGGCGGGTGATGAAAGAGGGAGAATGGGGCGGGGTGATGGAAAGCGGGGAGAATGGGTCGGGTTGATGGAAAGCGGGAGAATGGGGCGGGGTGATGGAAAGTTGGAGAATGGGGCGGGGTGATGGAAAGCGGAGAATGGGGCGGGGTGATGGAAAGCGGGAGAATGGGGCGGAGTGATGGAAAGCGGGAGAATGGGGCGGGGTGATGGAAAGAGGTGAGAGAATGGGGCGGGGTGATGGAAATCGGGAGAATGGGGCGGGGTGATGGAAAGAGGGAGAATGGGGCGGGGTGATAGAAAGAGGTAGAATGGGGCAGAGTGATGGAAAGCGAGGAGAATGGGGCAGGGTGATGGAAACGGGAGAATGGGGCGGGGTGATGGAAACGGGAGAATGGGGCGGGGTGATGGAAAGCGGGAGAATGGGGCGGGGTGATGGAAAGCGGGAGAATGGGGCGGGGTGATGGAAAGCGGAGAATGGGGCGGGGGTGATGGAAAGAGGGAGAATGGGGCGGGGTGATGGAAAGAGGGAGAATGGGGCGGGGTGATGGAAAGCAGGAGAATGGGGCGGGGTGATGGAAAGCGGGAGAATGGGGGGGGGGTGATGGAAAGCGGGAGAACGGGGCGGGGTGATGGGAAGCGGGAGAATGGGGGCGGGGTGATGGAAAGCGGGAGAATGGGGCGCGGTGATGGAAAGCGGGAGAATGGGGCGGGGTGATGGAAAGAGGGGGAGAATGGGACGGGGTGATGGAAAGCAGGAGAATGGGGTGGGGAGATGGAAAGCGGGAGAATGGGGCGGGGTGATGGAAAGAGGGAGAATGGGGAGGGGTGATGGAAAGCGGGAGAATGGGGCGGGGTGATGGAAAGAGGGGAGGATGGGGTGGGGTGATGGAACGCAAAAGAATGGGGCGGGGTGATGGAAAGCGGGAGAATGGGGGACGGGGTGATGGAAAGCGGGAGAATTGGGTGGGGTGATGGATAGAGGGAGAATGGGGAAGGGTGATGGAAGAGGGAGAATGGGGCGGGTGATGGAAAGCTGGAGAATGGGGCGGGGTGATGGAAAGCGGGAGAATGGGCGGGGTGATGGAAAGCGGGAGAATGGGGCGGGGTGATGGAAAGAGGCGAAAGAATGGGGCGGGTGAAGGAAGCGGGAGAATGGGGCGGGTGATTGAAAGAGGGAGAATGGGGCGGGGTGATGGAAAGCGGGAGAATGGGTCGGGTTGATGGAAAGCGGGAGAATGGGCGGGGTGATGGAAAGTTGGAGAATGGGGCGGGGTGATGGAAAGCGGAAGAATGGGGCGGGGTGATGGAAAGCGGGAGAATGGGGCGGAGTGATGGAAAGCGGGAGAATGGGGCGGGGTGATGGAAAGAGGTGAGAGAATGGGGCGGGGTGATGGAAATCGGGAGAATGGGGCGGGGTGATGGAAAGAGGGAGAATGGGGCGGGGTGATAGAAAGAGGTAGAATGGGGCAGAGTGATGGAAAGCGAGAGAATGGGGCAGGGTGATGGAAACCGGGAGAATGGGGCGGGGTGATGGAAACCGGGAGAATGGGGCGGGGTGATGGAAAGCGGGAGAATGGGGCGGGGTGATGGAAAGCGGGAGAATGGGGCGGGGAGATGGAAGCGGGAGAATGGGGCGGGGTGATGGAAAGAGGGAGAATGGGGCGGTGTGATGGAAAGAGGGAGAATGGGGCGGGGTGATGGAAAGGCAGGAGAATGGGGCGGGGTGATGGAAAGTGGGAGCATCGGGCGGGGTGATGGAAAGCGGGAGAACGGGGGCGGGTGATGGGAAGCGGAGAATGGGGGCGGGTGATGGAAAGCGGGAGAATGGGGCGCGTGATGGAAGCGGGAGAATGGGCGGGGTGATGGAAAGAGGCGGGAGAATGGGACGGGGTGATGGAAAGCAGGAGACATGGGGTGGGGAGATGGAAAGCGGGAGAATGGGCGGGGGTGATGGAAAGAGGGAGAATGGGGCGGGGTGATGGAAAGCGGGAGAATGGGGCGGGGTGATGGAAAGCAGAGAATGGGGCGGGGTGATGGAAAGGGGAGAATGGGGAGGGGTGATGGAAAGCGGGAGAATGGGGCGGGTGATGGAAAGCGGGAGAATGGGGCTGGGTGATTGCAAAGCGGGAGAATGGGGCGGGGTGATGGAAAGCGGGAGAATGGGGCGGGATGATGGAAAGCGGAAGAATGGGGCAGGGTGATGGAAAGCGGGAGAATGGAAAAGGGGTGATGGAAAGCGGAAAATGGGGCGGGGTGATAGAAAGCGGGAGAATGGGGCGGGGTGATGGAAATAGGGAGAATGGGGCGGGGGTGATGGAAGTGCGGGAGAATGGGGCGGGGTGATGGAAAGCGGGAGAATGGGGCGGGGTGATGGAAAGAGGGAGAATGGGGCGAGGTGATGGAAAGAGGGAGAATGAGGCGGGGTGATGGAAAGAGGAGAATGGGGCGGGGGTGATGGAAAGAGGTAGAATGGGGCCAGAGTGATCGAAAGCGAGAGAATGGGGCGGGGTGATGGAAAGCAAGAGAATGGGGCGGGGTGATGGAAAGCGGGAGAATGGGGACGGGGTGATGGAAAGAGGGAGAATGGGGCCGGGTGATGGAAAGCGGGAGATAGGGCGGGGTGATGGAAAGCGGGAGAATGGGGCGGGGTGATGGAAAACGGGGGAATGGGGCGGGGTGATGGAAAGCGAGAGAGATTCTGCTCAACTGCATCGACTGTGGGATGGGATGATGAGACTGGTGGTTGAAACCTGGTGATTGGTAATAAACGTGTTATTTCTAGACGTCTCAAAGTAACTCTTTCATCACGTGGCTGGTGAGATGAAAGTAAATCTTTCATCAGATGGTGAGATGAAAGTTATTATTCGTCAGATGGTGAGATGAAAGTAACTCTTTGAACAGGTGGTGAGATGAAAGTAACTCTTCCATCAGATGGTGAGATGAAAGTAACTCTTTCGTCAGATAGTGAGATGAAAGTTATTATTCATCAGATGGTGAGATGAAAGAAACTCTTTCATCAGATGGTGAGATGAAAGTAACTCTTTCATCAGATGGTGAGATGGAAATTATTAGTTCATCAGATGGTGAAATGAAAGTAACTCTTTCATCAGATGGTGAGATGAAAGTACCTTTTTCATCAGATGGTGAGATGAAAGTAACTCTTTCATCAGATGGTGAGATGAAAGTACCTCTTTCATCAGATGCTGAGATGAAAGTACCTCTTTCATCAGATGGTGAGATGAAAGTAACTCTTTCATCAAATGGTGAGATGAAAGTACCTCTTTCATCAAATGGTGAGATGAAAGTAACTCTTTCATCAGATGGTGAGATGAAAGCAACTCTTTCATCAGATGGTGAGATGAAAGTACCTCTTTCATCAGATGGTGAGATCAAAGTAACTCTTTCATCAGATGGTGAGATGAAAGCAACTCTTTCATCAGATGGTGAGATGAAGTACCTCTTTCATCAGATGGTGATATGAAACTAATTCTTTCATCAGATGGTGAGATGAAAGTACCTCTTTCATCAGATGGTGAGATGAAAGCAACTCTTTGATCAGATGGTGAGATGAAAGCAACTCTTTCTTCAGATGGTGAGATGAAGTAACTCTTTCATCAGATGGTGAGATGAAAGTACCTCTTTCCTCAGATGGTGAGATGAAAGTAATTCTTTAATCAGATAGTGAGATAAAAGTACCTCTTTTATCAGATGGTGAGATGAAAGTAACTCTTTCATCAGATGGTGAGATGAAAGTAACTCTTTCATCAGATGGTGAGATGAAAGTAACTCTTTCATCAGATGGTGAGATGAAGGTTGTTATTCATTAGATGGTTAGATTGAAAGTACCTCTTTCATCAGATGGTGAAATGAAAGTAACTCTTTCATCAGATGGTGAGATGAAAGTACCTCTTTCATCAGATGGTGAGATGAAAGTACCTCTGTCATCAGATGGTGAGATGAAAGTACCTCTGTCATCACGTGCCTGGTGTCCTCTGATCCGCAGTGAGTTTCCCTGTCATCGCCAGTGTGGGGCACGGGCTCATTTTCCTCATGTACTTGCCCCCCTTCCCCCTCCTCCCTCTGCTGGTCAGCGCCAAGGCTTTCGACCTTGACCTGGTGGGCCTGGTGTCGTCAAGCCCTCAAGCCTTCAAGCCTTCAAGCCCTCAAGCCCTCAAGCCCTCAAGCCCTTCAAGCCTTCAAGCCTTCAAGCCTTCAAGCCTTCAAGAATTCAAGCCTTCAAGCCCTCAAGCCCTCAAGCCCTCAAGCCCTCAAGCCCTCAAGCCCTCACGCCCTCACGCCCTCAAGCCCTCAAGCCCTCACGCCCTCAAGCCCTCAAGCCTTCAAGCCCTCAAGCCTTCAAGCCATCAAGCACTCAAGCCTTCAAGCCCTCAAGCCCTCAAGCCTTCAAGCCTTCAATCCCTCAAGCCCTCAAGCCTTCAAGCCTTCAAGCCCTCAAGCCCTCAAGCCTTCAAGCCTTCAAGCCCTCAAGCCTTCAAGCCTTCAAGCCTTCAAGCCCTCAAGCCCTCAAGTCCTCAAGCCTTCAAGCCCTCAAGCCCTCAAGCCCTCAAGCCCTTAAGCCTTCAAGCCTTCAAGCCTTCAAGCCTTCAAGCCTTCACGCCCTCAAGCCCTCAAGCCCTCAAGCCCTCAAGCCCTCAAGCCTTCAAGCCTTCAAGCCTTCAAGCCTTCAAGCCCTCAAGCCCTCAAGCCTTCAAGCCTTCAAGCCTTCAAGCCTTCAAGCCCTCAAGCCCTCAAGCCCTGAAGCCCTCAAGCATTCAAGCCTTCAAGCCGTCAAGCCTTCAAGCCTTCAAGCCCTCAACCCATCAAGCCTTCAAGCCCTCAAGCCCTTAAGCCCTCAAGCCCTCAAGCCCTTAAGCACTCAAGCCCTCAAGCCTTCAAGCCTTCAAGCCTTCAAGCCTTCAAGCCTTCAAGTCCTCAAGCCCTCAAGCCCTCAAGCCTTTAAGCCCTCAAGCCCTCAAGCCTTCAAGCCTTCAAGCCTTCAAGTCCTCAAGCCCTCAAGCCCTCAAGCCTTCAAGCCCTCAAGCCTTCAAGCCTTCAAGCCTTCAAGCCTTCAAGCTTTCAGGCCCTCAAGCCCTCAAGCCTTCAAGCCCTCAAGCCCTCAAGCCCTCAAGCCTTCAAGCCTTCAAGCCTTCAAGCCTTCAAGCCCTCAAGCCATCAAGCCTTCAAGCCCTCAAGCCCTCAAGCCCTTAAGCCCTCAAGCCCTTAAGCACTCAAGCCCTCAAGCCTTCAAGCCTTCAAGCCTTCAAGCCTTCAAGCCTTCAAGTCCTCAAGCCCTCAAGCCCTCAAGCCTTTAAGCCCTCAAGCCCTCAAGCCTTCAAGCCTTCAATCCTTCAAGCCTTCAAGCCTTCAAGCCCTCAAGCCTTCAAGCCCTCAAGCCTTCAAGCCCTCAAGCCCTCAAGCCCTCGAGCCTTCAAGCCTTCAAGCCCTCAAGCCCTCAAGCCCTCAAGCCCTCAAGCCCTCAAGCCTTCAAGCCCTCAAGCCTTCAAGCCTTCAAGCCCTCAAGGCCCCATTCTCCCGCTTTCCATCACCCCGCCCCATTCTCCCGCTTTCCATCACCCCGCCCCATTCTCCCGCTTTCTATCACCCCGCTCCATTCTCCCGCTTTCCATCACCTCGCCCCATTCTCCCGCTTTCTATCACCCCGCCCCATTCTCCCTCTTTCCTTCACCCCGCCCCGTTCTCCCGCTTCCCATCAGCCCGCCCCATTCTCCCTCTTCCCATCACCCCGCCCCATTCTCCCGCTTTCGATCACCTCGCCCAATGCTCCGCTTTCCATCACCCCGCCCTATTCTCCCGCTTTCCTTCACCCCGCCCCATTCTCCCGCTTTCCATCACCCCGCCCCATTCTTCCACTTTCCATCACCCCCCTCCATTCTCCCGCTTTCCATCACCGCGCCCCATTCTCCCGCTTTCTATCACCCCCCCTCCATTCTCCCTCTTTCCTTCACCCTGCCCCATTCTCCTGCTTCCCATCACCCCGCCCCATTCTCCCTGTTCCCATCACCCCGCCCCATTTTCCCGCTTTCGATCACCCCGCCCCATTCTCCCGCTTTCCATCACCCTGCCCCATCCTCCCGCTTTCCATCACCCCGCCCCATTCTCCCGCTTTCCATCACCCCGCCCCATTCTCCCTCTTTCCATCACCCCGCCCCATTCTCCCGCTTTCCATCACCCCGCTCCATTCTCCTGCTTTCCATCACCCCGCCCCATTCTCCCGCTTTCCATCATCCCGCCCCATTCTCCCGCTTTCCATCACCCCGCCCCATTCTCCAACTTTCCATCACCCCGCCCCATTCTCCCGCTTTCCATCACCCCGCCCCATTCTCCCGCTTTCCATCACCCCGCCCCATTCTCATGCCTTCCATCACCCCGCCCCATTCTCCCGCTTTCCATCACCCCGCCCATTCTCCCACTTTTCATCACCCCGCCCCATTCTCCCGTTTTCCATCACCCCGCCCCATTCTCTCGCTTTCCATCACCCCGCCCCATTCTCCCGCTTTCCATCACCCCGCCCCATTCTCCCTCTTTCCATCACCCCGCCCCATTCTCCCCCTTTCCATCACCACGCCCCCATACTCCCGCATTCCATCACCTCGCCCCATTCTCCCGCTTTCCATTACCCCGCCCCATTCTCCCGCTTTCCATCAACCCGCCCATTCTCTTACTTTCCATCACCCCGCCCCATTCTCCCGCTTTCCATCACCCCGCCCCATTCTCCCTCTTTCCATCACCCCGCCCCATTCTCCCTCTTTCCATCACCCCGCCCCATTGTCCCTCTTTCCATCACCCCGCCCCATTCTCCCGCTTTCCATCACCCCGCCCCATTCTTTCGATTTCTATCATCCCGCCCCATTCTCCAGCCTCTTTCCATCACCCCGCCCCATTCTCCCGCTTTCCATCACCCCGCCCCATTCTCCCGCTTTCCATCACCCCGCCCCATTCTCCCTCTTTCGATCACCCCGCCCCATTCTCCCACTTTCCATCACCCCGCCCCATTCTCCCGCCTCTTCATCACCCCGCCCCATTCTCCCGCTTTCCATCACCCCGCCCCATTCTCCCGCTTTCCATCACCCCGCCCCATTCTCCAGCTTTCCATCACCCCGGCCCATTCTCCACATTCCATCACCCCGCCCCATTCTCCCGCTTTCCATCACCCCGCCCCATTCTCCCGCTTTCCATCACCCCGCCCCATTCTCCTGCTTTCCATCACCCCGCCCCATGCTCCCGCTTTCCATCACCCCGCCCCATTCTCCCGCTTTCCATCGCCCTTCCCCATTCTCCCTCATTCCATCACCCCGCCTCATTCTCCCTTTTTACATCACCCCGCCCCATTCTCCCTCTTCCATCACCCCGCCCCATTCTTCCGCTTTCCATCACCCCGCCCCATTCTCCCGCTTTCCATCACCCCGCCCCATTCTCCTGCTTTCCATCACCCCGCCCCATGCTCCCGCTTTCCCATCACCCCGCCCCATTCTCCCGCTTTCCATCGCCCTGCCCCATTCTCCCGCTTTCCATCATCCCGCCCCATTCTCTTGCTTTCCATCACCCTGCCTCATTCTACCTCTTTTCATCATCCCGCCCCATTCTCCCTTTTTACATCACCCCGCCCCATTCTCCCTCTTCCATCACCCCACCCCATTCTTCCGCTTTCCATCACCCTGCCCCATTCTCCCGCTTTCCATCACCCCGCCCCATTCTCCCGCTTTCCATCACCCTGCCCATTCTCCACATTCCTTCACCCCGCCCAATTCTCCCACTTTCCATCACCCCGCCCCATTCTCCCGCTTTCCATCACCCCGCCCATTCTCCCGCTTCCCATCACCCCGCCCCATTCTCCCTCTTTCCATCACCCCGCCCCATTCTCCCTCTATCCATCACCCCGCCCCATTCTCCCGCTTTCCATCAGCCCGCCTCATTCTCCCGCTTTCCATCACCCGCCCCACGCTTTCCATCGCCCTGCCCTATACTCCCGCTTTCCATCACCCCGCCCCATTCTCTTGCTTTCCATCACCCTGCCCCATTCTTCCGCTTTCCATCACCCCGCCCATTCTCGCTCTTTCACTCACCCCGCCCCATTCTCACGCTTTCCATCACCCCGCCCCATTCTCCCGCTTTCCATCACCCCGCCCCATTCTCCCGATTTCCATCACCCCGCCCCATTCTCCCGCTTTCCATCACCCCGCCCCATTCTCCCGCTGTCCATCACCCCGCCCCATTCTCCCGCTTTCCATAACCCCGCCCCATTCTCCCTCTTTCCATCCTTCCGCACCATTCTCCCAGTTTCCATCACCCCGCCCCATTCTCCCGCTTTCCATCACCCCGCGCCATTCTCCCGCTTTCCATCACCCCGCCCCATTCTCCCGCTTTCCATCACCCCGCCCCATTCTCCCGCTTTCCATCACCCCGCCCCATTCTCCCGCTGTCCATCACCCCGCCCCATTCTCCCGCTTTCCATAACCCGCCCCCATTCTCCCTCTTTCCATCCTTCCGCCCCATTCTCCCGGTTTCCATCACCCCGCCCCATTCTCCCGCTTTCCATCACCCCGCGCCATTCTCCCGCTTTCCATCACCCCGCCCCATTCTCCCGCTTTCCATCACCCCGGCCCCATTCTCTCGCTTTCCATCACCCCGCCCCATTTTACCTCTTTCCATCACCCCGTTCCATTCTCCCTCTTTCCGTCACCCCACCTCATTCTCCCTCTTTCCATCACCCCGCTCCATTCTCCCTCTTTCGATCACCCCGCCCCATTCTCCCGCTTTCCTTCACCCCACCCCATTCTCCTGCTTTCCATCACCCCGCCCCATTCTCCCGCTTTCCATCACCCCGCCCCATTCTCCCTCTTTCGATCACCCCGCCTCATTCTCCCGCTTTCCATCACCCCGCCCCCTTCTCCCGCTTTCCATCACCCCGCCCCATTCTCCCTCTTTCTATCACCCCGCCCCATTCTCCCGCTTTCCATCACCCCGCCCCATTCTCCCGCTTTCCATCACCCCACCCCAGTCTCCCGCTTTCCATCACCCCGCCCCATTCTCCCGCTTTCCATCACCCCGCCCCATTCTCCCTCTTTCCATCACCCCACCCCATTCTCCAGCTTTCCATCACCCCGCCCTATTCTCCCTCTTTCCATCACCCCGCCCCATTCTCCCGCTTTCCATCACCCCGCCCCGTTCTCCCACTTTCCATCACCCCGCCCCATTCTCCCGCTTTCCATCACCCCGCCCCATTCTCCCGCTTTCCATCACCACGCCCCATTCTCCCGCTTTCCATCACCCCGCCCCACTCTCCAACTTTCCATCACCCCGCCCCATTCTCCCGCTTTCCATCACCCCGCCCCATTCTCCCGCTTTCCATCACCCAGCCCCATTCTCCCGCTTTCCATCACCCCGCCCCATTCTCCCGCTTTCCATCACCCCGCCCCATTCTCCCGCTTTCCATCACCCCGCCCCATTCTCCCGCTTTCCATCACCCCGCCCCATTCTCCCGCTTTCCATCACCCCGCCCCATTCCCCCTCTTTCCATCACCCTGCCCCATTCTCCTGCTTTCAATCACCCCTCCCTATTCTCCCGCTTTCCATCACCCCGCCCCATTCTCCCGCTTTCCATCACCCCGCCCCATTCTCCCGCTTTCAATCACCCCGCCCCATTTTTCCCGCTTTCCATCACCCCGCCCCAATCTCCTGCTTTCCATCACCCTGCCCCAATCTTCCGCTTTCCATCACCCCGGCCCATTCTCCCTCCTTCCATCACCCCGCCCCATTCTCCCGCTTTCCATCACCCCGCCCCATTCTCCCGCTTTCCATCACCCCGCTCCATTCTCCCGCTTTCCATCACCCCGCCCCATTCTCCCGCTTTCCATCACCCCGCCCCATTCTCCCGCTTTCCATCACCCCGCCCCATTCTCCCTCCTTCCATCACCCCGCCCCATTCTCCCGCTTTCTATCACCCCGCCCCATTCTCCCTCCTTCCATCAACCCGCCCCATTCTCCCTCCTTCCATCACCCCGCCCCATTCTCCCGCTTTCCATCACCCCGCCCCATTCTCCAGCTTCCCATAACCCCACCCCATTCTCCTGCTTTCCATCACCCCGCCACATTCTCCCGCTTTCCATCACCCCGCCCCATTCTCCTTCCTTCCATCACCCCGCCCCATTCTCCCTCCGTCCATCACCCCGCCCCATTCTCCCGCTTTCCATCACCCCGCCCCATTCTCCCGCTTTCCATCACCCCACCCCATTCTCCTGCTTTCCATCACCCCGCCCCCTTCTCCCTCCTTCCATCACCCCGCCCCATTCTCCCTCCTTCCATCACCCCGCCCCATTCTCCCGCTTTCCATCAGCCCGCCCCATTCTCCCGCTTTCAATCACCCCACCCCTTTCTCCCGCTTTCCATCTCCCCGCCCCATTCTCCCGCTTTCCATCACCCCGCCCCATTCTCCCACTTTCCATCACCCCGCCCCTTTCTTCCGCTTCCCATCATCCCGCCCCATTCCCCCGCTTTCCATCATCCGCCCCATTCTCCCGCTTTCCATCACCCTGCCCCAATCTTCCGCTTTCCATCACCCCGCCCCATTCTCCCTCCTTCCATCACCCCGCCCCATTCTCTCGCTTTCCATCACCCCGCCCCATTCTCCCGCTTTCCATCACCCCGCCCCATTCTCCCGCTTTCCCATCACCTCGCCCCATTCTCCCGCTTTCCATCACCCCGCCCCATTCTCCCTACTTCCATCACCCCGCCCCATTCTCCCGCTTTCCATCATCCCACGTTCTCCCACTTTCCATCAGCCCGCCCCATTCTCCCTCCTTCCATCGCCCTGCCCCATTCTCCCTCCTTCCATCATCCCGCCCCATTCTCCCTCCTTCCATCACCTCGCCCCATTTTCCCGCTTTCTATCAGCCCGCCCCATTCCACCGCTTTCCATCACCCCGCCCCATTCTCTAGCTTTCCATAACCCGCCCCATTCTCCCGCTTTCCATCACCCCGCCCCATTCTCCCGCTTTCCATCACCCCACCCCATTCTCCCGCTTTCCATCACCCCACCCCATATTCCCCGCTTTCCATCACCCCGCCCCATTCTCCAGCTTTCCATCAGCCTCCCCATTCTCCCGCTTTCCATCACCCCGCCTCATTCTCCCGATTCCCATCAACCCGCCCCATTCTCCCGCTTTCTATCACCCATCCCCATTCTCCCTCCTTCCATCACCTCGCCCCGTTCTCCCGCTTTCCATCACCCCGCCCCATTCTACCACTTTCCATTACCTCGCCCCTTTCTCCGGCTTTCCATCACCCTGCCCCATTCTCCCGCTTTCCATCAACCTGCCCCATTCTCCCCGCTTTCCATCACCCTGCCCGATTCTCCCTCCTTCCATCACCCCACCCCATTCTCCCGCTTTCCATCACCCCGCCCCATTCTCCTGCTCTCCATCACCCCGCACCATTCTCCCGCATTCCATCACCCCTCCCCATTCTCCTGCTTTCCATCACCCTGCTCCATTCTCCCTCCTTCCATGACCCCGCCCCATTCTCCCTCCATCCATCACCCCGCCCTATTCTCCCAATTTCCATCACCCCACCCCATTCTCCCGCTTTCCATCACCCCGCCTTATTCTCCCGCTTTCCATCACCTCGCCCCATTCTCCCGCTTTCCATCACCCCGCCCCATTCTCCGCTTTCCATCACACGCCCATTCTCCCGCTTTCCATCACCCCGCACCATTCTCCCGCTTTTCATTACCCCGCCCCATTTTCCTGCTTCCCATCATCTCGCCCCATTCTCCCGCTTTCCATCACCCTGCCCCATTCTCCCTCCTTCCATCACCCCACCACATTCTCCCGCTTTCCATCACCTCGCCCCATTCTCCCGCTTTCCATCACCCCGCCCCATTCTCCCGCTTTCCATCACCCCGCCCCATTCTCCTGCTTTCCATCACCCGCCCCCATTCTCCCGCTTTCCATCACCCCACCCCAGTCTCCCGCTTTCCATCACCCCGCCCTATTCTCCCGCTTTCCATCACCCCGCCCCATTCTCCCGCTTTCCATCACCCCACCCCATTCTCCCGCTTTCCATCACCCCGCCCCATTCTCTCGCTTTCCTTCACCCCTCCCCATTCTCCCGCTTTCTATCACCCCGCCCCATTCTCCCACGTTTCTATCACCCCACCCCATTCTCCCGCTTTCCATCACTCCGCCCCATTCTCTCTCCTTCCATCACCCCGCCCCATTCTCCCGCTTTCCATCACCCCGACCCATTCTCCCACTTTCCATCACCCCGCCCAATTCTCTGGATTTCCGTCACCCTGCCCGATTCTCCCTCTTTCCGTCACCCCGCCCCATTCTCCCGCTTTCCATCATCCAGCCCCATTCCCCCGCTTTTCATCACCCCGCCCTATTCTCCCTCTTTCCATCACCCCGCCCCATTCTCCCTCCTTCCATCACCCCGCCCCATTCTACCGCTTTTCCATCACCCCGCCACATTCTTCCACTTTCCATCACCCCGCCCCATTCTCCCTCCTTCCATCACCTCGCCCCATTCTCCCGCATTCCATCACCCCGCCCCATTCTCCCGCATTCCATCACCCCGCCCCATTCTCCCGCTTTCCATCACCCTGCCCCATTCTCCCGCTTTCTATCACCCCACCCATTCTTCCGCATTCCATCACCCCGCCCCATTCTCCCCGCTTTCCATCACCTCGCCTCACTCTCCCGCTTTCCATCACCCCGCCCCATTCTCCCGGTTTCCATCACCCCGCCCCCTTCTCCCTCCTTCCATCACCCCGCCCCATTCTCCCTCCTTCCATCACCCCGCCCCATTCTCCCGCTTCCCATCATCCCGCCCCATTCCGCTCCTTTCCGTCACCCCCTCCCCATTCTCCCTCCTTCCATCACCCAGCCCCATTCTCCCGCTCTCCATCACCCCGCCCCATTCTCCCGCTTTCCATCACCTCGCCCCATTCTCACGCTTTCCATCGCCCCGCCCCATTTACCCGCTTTCCATCACCCCGCCCCATTCTCCCGCTCTCCATCACCCCGCCCCATTCTCCCGCTTTCTATCACCTCGCCCCATTCTCACGCTCTCCATCACCCCGCCCCATTCACCCTCTTTCCATCACCCCGCCCCATTCTCCCGCTTTCCATCACCCCCCGCTATTTACCCTCTTTCCATCACCCCCCCCCATTCTCTCCGCTTTCTATAACCCCGTCCCATTCTCCCGCTTTCCATCACTCCACCCCATTCTCCCGCTTTCCATCACCCCGCCCCATTCTCCCGCTTTCCATCACCCCGCCCCATTCTCCCTCCTTCCATCACCCTGCCCCATTCTCCCGCTTTCCATCACCCCGCGCCATTTTCCCTCTTTCCATCACCCCGCCCCATTCTCCTGCTTTCCATCACCCCGCCCCATTCTCTCGCTTTCCATCACCCCGCCCCATTCTCCCTCCTTCCATCACCCCGCCCCATTCTCCCACTTTCTATCAGCCCGTCCCATTATCCCGCTTTCCATCACCCCGCCCCTTTCTCCCCGCTTTGCATCTCCCCACCCCATTCTCCCGCTTTCCATCACCCCGCCCCATTCTCCCGCTTTCCATCACCCCGCCCCATTCTCCCACTTTCCATCACCCCGCCCCATTCTCCCTCCTTCCATCACCCCGCCTCATTCTACCTCCTTCATTCTACCTCCTTCCATCACCCCGCCCCATGCTCCCGCTTTCCATCATCCCCGCCCCATTCTCCCGCTTTTCATCACCCCGCCCCATTCTCCCGCTTTCCATCACCCCGCCCATTCTCACCGCTTTCCATCACCCCGCCCCATTCTCCCTCCTCTCGATCACCCCGCCCCATTCTCCCGCTTTCCACCACCCGCCCCATGCTCCCGCTTTCCATCACCCCGCCCCATTCTCCCATCACCCCGCCCCATTCTCTCGCTTTCAATCACCACGCCCCATTCTCCCGCTTTCCATCACCCCGCCCATTCTCCCCCCTTTCCATCACTCCGCCCACATTCTCCCGCTTTCCATCACCCCCCGCTATTTTCCCGCTTTCCATCACCCCGCCCCATTCTCCCTCTTTCCATCACCCTGCCCCATTCTCCTCATCCATCACCCCACCCAATTCTCCCGCTTTCCATCACCCCGTCCCATTCTCCCGCTTTCCATCACCCGCCCCATTCTTTTGCGTTCCATCACCCCACCCCATCCTCCCCCTCTTTCCATCACCCCGCCCCATTCTCCCGATTTCTATCACCCCGCCCCATTCTCCCTCTTTCCATCACCCCGCCCCATTCTCCCGCTTTCCATCACCCCGCCCCATTCTCCCTCTCACCATCAGCCTGCCCCATTCTCCCTCTTTCCATCACCCCGCCCCATTCTCCCGCTTTCTATCACCCCGCCCCATTCTCCCTCTTTCCATAACCCCGCCCCCATTCTCCCGCTTTCCATCACCCCGCCCCATTCTCCCTCTTTCCATCACCCCGCCCCGTTCTCCCGCTTTCCATCACCCCGCCCCATTCTCCCGCTTTCCATCACCCCGCCCCATTCTCCTGCTTTCCATCACCCCGCCCCATTCTCCCTCTTTCCATCACCCCGCCCCATTCTCCGCTTTCCATCACCCCGCCCCATTCTCCATCTTTACATCACCCCGCCCCACTCTCCCGCCTTCCATCACCCCGCCCCATTCTCCATCTTTCCATCACCCTGCCCAATTCTCCCGCCTTCCATCACCCCACCCCATTCTCCTGTCTTCCATCACCCCGCCCCATTCTCCCTCTTCCATCACCCCACCCAATTCTCCCGCCTTCCATCACCCCGCCCCATTCTCCCGCTTTCCATCACCCCGCCCCATTCTCCCTCTTTCCATCACCCCGCTCCATTCTCCCGCTTTCTATCACCCCGCACCATTCTCCCGCTTTCCATCACCCCGCACCATTCTCCTGGTTTCCATCACCCTGCATCCATTCTCCCGCTTTCCATCACCTCGCCCAATTCTCCCTCTTTCCATCACCCCACCCCATTCTCCCTCTTTCCATCACCCCGCCCCATTCTCCATCTTTCCATCACCCCGCCCCATTATCCCTCTTTCCATCACCCCGCCCCATTCTCCCACTTTCCATCACCCCGCCCCATTCTCCCGCTTTCCATCACAACGCCCCATTCTCCCTCTTTCCATCACCCCGCCCCATTCTCCTGCTTTCGATCACCCCGCCCCATTCTCCCGCTTTCCATCACCCCGCCCCATTCTCCCGCTTTCCATCACCCCGCCCTATTCTCCCTCTTTCCATCACCATGCCCCATTCTCCTGCTTTCCATCACCCCTCCCCATTCTCCCGCTGTCCATCACCCCGCCCCATTCTCCCGCTTTCCATCACCGCGCCCCATTCTCCCTCTTTCCATCACCCCGCCCCATTCTCCCGCTTTCGATCACCCCGCCCCATTCTCCCGCTTTCCATCACCCCGCCCCATTCTCCCGCTTTCCATAACCCCGCCCCATTCTCCCTCTTTCATCACCACGCCCCATTCTCCCAATTTCCATCACCCCGCCCCATTCTCCTGCTTTCCATCACACCGCCCCATTCTCCAACTTTTCATCACCCCGCCCCATTCTCCCGCTTTCCATCACCCTGCCCCATTCTGGGGGGAAAGATGGAGAATGGGGCAGGGTGATGGAAAGCGGGAGAATGGGGCGGGGTGATGAAAAGTTGGAGAATGGGGCGGTGTGATGGAAAGCAGGAGAATGGGGCGGGGTGATGGAAATTGGGAGAATGGGGAGGGGTGATGGAAAGAGAAATAATTGGGCGGGGTGATGGAAAGCGGGAGAATGGAGTGGGGTGATGGAAACCGGGAGAATGGGGCGGAGTGATGGAAAGCGGGAGAATGGGGCGGGGTGATGGAAATCGGGAGAATGGGGCGGGGTGGTGGAAATCGGGAGAATGGGGCGAGATGATGGAAAGCGGGAGAATGGGGCGGGTAATGGGAAGAGGGAGAATGGGGCGGGGTGATGGAAAGCGGGAGAATGGGGCGGGGTGATGGAAAGCGGGAGAATGGGGCCGGGTGATAGAAAGCGGGAGAATGGGGCGGGGTGATGGAAATCGAGAGAATTGGGCGAAGTGATGGAAAGCGGGAGAATGGGGCGGGGTGATGGAGAGCGGGAGAATGGGGCGGGGTGGTGGAAAGCAGGAGAATGGGGCGGGGTGTGGAAAGCGGGAGAATGGGGTGGGGTGATGGAAAGAGGGAGAATGGGGCGGGGTGATGGAAAGCGGGAGAATGGGGCGGGGTGATGGAAAGAGGGAGAATGGGGCGGGGTGATAGGAAAGCGGGAGAATGGCGCGGGGTGGTGGAAAGCGGGAGAATGGGGCGGGGTGATGGAAAAGCGGGAGAATGGGGCGGGTGATGGAAAGTGGGAGAATAGGACGGGGTGGTGGAAGCGGGAGAATTGGGCGGGGTGATGGATAGAGGGAGAATGGGGCGGAGTGATGGAAAGAGGGAGAATGGGGTGGGGTGATGGAAAGAGGGAGAATCGGCAGGGTGATGGAAAGCGGGAGAATGGGGCGGGGTGATGGAAAGCGGGAGAATGGGGCGGGGTGATGGACAGCGGGAGAATGGGGAGGGGTGATGGAAAGCAGGACAATGGGGCGAGGTGATGGAAAGAGAGAGAATGGGGCGGGTGATGGAAAGCGGGAGAATGGGGCGGGGTGATGGAAAGCGGGGAGAATGGCGCGGGGTGATGCCAATCGGTCGAGAATGGGGTGGGGTGATGGAAGCGGGAGAATGGGGCGGGGTGATGGAAAGCGGGAGAATGGGGCGGGGTGATGGAAGGCTGGAGAATGGAGCGGGGGCGGGGGGTGATGGAAAGAGAGAAATAGGGCGAGGTGATGGAAAGCGGGAGAATGAGGTGGTGTGATGGAAAGCGGGAGAATGGGGCGGGTGATGGAAAGAGGTAGAGATGGGCGGGGTGATGGAAAGCGGGAGAATGGGGCGGGGTGATGGATAAGAGGGAGAATGGGGCGGGTGAGGAAGGCGGGAGAATGGGGCGGGGTGATGCAAATCGGGAGAATGGGGTGGGGTGATGGAAAGCGGGAGAATGGGGCGGGGTGATGGAAAGCGGGAGAATGGGGCGGGGTGATGGAAGGCGGGAGAAGGGAGCGGGGTGATGGAAAGAGGGAGAATGGGGCGGGGTGATGGAAAGCGGGAGAATGGGGCGGGTGATGGAAAGCGGGAGAATGGGGCGGGGTGATGGAAAGAGGGAGAATGGGGCGGGGTGATGGAAAGCGAGAGAATGGGGCGGGGTGATGAAAGAGGGAGAATGGGCCAGGGTGATGGAAAGCGGGAGAATGGGGCGGTTTGATGGAAAGAGGGAGAATGGGGAGGGGTGATGGAAAGAGGGAGAATTGGGCGGGGTGATGGAAAGCGGGAGAATGGAGCGGGGTGATGGAAAGCGGGCGGGGTGATGGAAAGCGGGAGAATGGGGCGGGGTGATAGAAAGAGGGAGAATGGGGCGGGGTGATGGAAAGCGGGAGAATGGGGCGAGGTGATGGAAAGAGGGAGAATGGGGCGGGGTGATGGAAGGCGGGAGAATGGGCGGGGTGATGCAAATTGAGAGAATGGGGTGGGGTGATGGAAAGCGGGAGAATGGGGCGGGTGATGGAAAGCGGGAGAATGGGGCGGGGTGATGGAAGGCGGGAGAATGGGGCGGGGTGATGGATTGAGGGAGAATGGGGCGGGTGATGGAAAGCGGGAGAATGGGGCGGGGTGATGGAAAGAGGGTGAATGGGGCGGGGTAATGGAAAGCGAGAGAATGGGGCGGGGTGATGGAAAGAGGGAGAATGGGGCGGGGTGATGGAAAGCGGGAGAATGGGGCGGGTTGATGGAAAGAGGGAGAATGGGGAGGGGTGATGGAAAGAGGGGAAATTGGGCGGGGTGATGGAAAGCGGGAGAATGGAGCGGGGTGATGGAAAGCGGGAGAATGGGGCGGGTGATGGAAAGCGGAGAATGGGGCGGGGTGATGGAAAGCGGGAAAATGGGGCGGGGTGATGGAAAGAGGGAGTATGGGGCGGGGTGATGGAAAGAGGGAGAATGGGGCGGGGTGATGGAAAGCGGGAGAATGGGCAGGGTGATGGAAAGAGGGAGAATGGAGAGGGGTGATATAAAGAGGGAGAATTGGGGGGGTGATGGAAAGCGGGAGAATGGAGCGGGGTGATGGAAAGCGGGAGAATGGGGCGGGGTGATGGAAAGCGGGAGAATGGGACGGGTGGATGGAAAGAGGGAAAATGGGGCGTGGTGATGGAAAGCGGGAGAATTGGGCGGGGTGATGGAAAGCGGGAGAATGGAGCGGGGTGGTGGGAAAGCGGGAAAATGGGGCGGGGTGATGGAAAGAGGGAGAATGAGGAGGGGTGATGGAAAGAGGGAGAATTGGGCGGGGTGATGGAAAGAGGGAGAATGGGGCGGGGTGATGGAAAGCGGGAGAATGGGGCGGGGTGATGGAAAGAGGGAGAATGGGGCGGGGTGGTGGAAAGAGGGAGAATGGGGCGGGGTGATGGAAAGCGGGAGAATGGGGTTGGGTGATGGAAAGAGGGACAATGGGGAGGGGTGATGGAAAGAGGGAGAACTGGCGGGGTGATGGAAAGCGGGAGAATGGAGCGGGGTGATGGAACGAGGGAAAATGGGGCGGGGTGAAGGAATGCGGTAGAATGGGGCGGGGTGATGGAAAGAGGGAGAATGGGGCGGGGTGATGGAAAGCGGGAGAATGGGGAGGGGTGATGGAAAGCGGGAGAATGGGGCTGGGTGATGGAAAGCGGGAGAATGGGCGGGGTGATGGAAAGCGGGAGAATGGGGCGGGGTGATGGAAAGCGGGAGAATGGGGCGGGTGATGGAAAGCGGGAGAATGGGGCGGGGTGATGGAAAGCGGGAGAATTGGGCGGGGTGATGGAAATCGGGAAAATGGGGCGGGTGATGGAAAGCGGGAGAATGGGGCGGGGTGATGGAAAGAGGGAGAATGGGGCGGGGTGATGGAAAGAAGGATAATTGGGCGGGGTGATGGAAAGCGGGAGAATGGAGCGGGGTGATGAAACCGGGAGAATGGGGCGGAGTGATGGAAAGCGGGAGAGGGGCGGGTGATGGAAATCGGGAGAATGGGGCGGGGTGGTGGAAAGCGGGAGAATGGGGCGGGATGATGGAAAGCGGGAGAATGGGGCGGGTAATGGGAAGAGGGAGAATGAGGCGGGGTGATGGAAAGCGGGAGAATAGGGCGGGGTGATGGAATGCGGGAGAATGGGGAGAAGGGGGACGCCCCATGCTTGTGGAGGTGGACGAAGCGGTGACATTTCTTCTTTCATGAAATATCACCCCACGGGACATGTCATGACGGAGAATGAGTTGTCCACGGGGTGTATGATTCGGAGTCTCAGCTCCCGCTTATGACCCATCACTCCCAACTGCCCCATTCTCCCATTCTCCCGTGGACAACTCATTCTCCCTCTTTTCATCACCCCGCCCATTCTCCCTCTTTCCATCACCCCACCCCATCCTTTTTCTTTCCATCGCCCCGCCCCATTCTTCCGCTTTTCATCACCCCGTCCCATTCTCCCTCTTTCCATCACCCCTCCCCATTCTCCCGCTTTCCATCATCCCGCCCCAATCTCCCGCTTTCCATCACCCCGCCCCATTCTCCCGCTTTCCATCACCCCGCCCCATTCTCCCTCTTTCCATCACCCGCCCCATTCTCCGCATTCATTCACCCCGCCCCATTTTCCCTCGTTCCATCACCCCGCTCCATTCTCCCGCTTTCCATCACCCCGCCCAGTTCTCCCTCTTTCCATCACCCCTCCCCATTCTCCCTCTTTCCATCACCCACCCCATTCTCCCGCTTTCCATCACCCCGCCCCATTCTCCCTTCTTTCCACACCCCGCCCCATTCTCCCTCTTTCCATCACCCCGCCCCATTCTCCCGCTTTCATCACCCCGCCCCATTCTCCCTCTTTCCATCACCCCGCCCAATTCTCCCTCTTTCCATCACCCTCCTCATTCTCCCTCTTTCCATCACCCCGCCCCATTTTCCCGCTTTCCACCACCCCGCCCCATTCTCCGCTTTCCATCACCCCCCCCATTCTCCCGCTTTCCATCACCCCGCCCCATTTCCCTCTTTCCATCACCCCGCCCCATTCTCCCGCTTTCCATCACCCGCCCCATTCTCCCGCTTTCCATCACCCCGCCCCATTCTCCCGCTTTCCATCACCCCCCCCAATTCTCCTCTTT